TCAGTATACTGGATGGGGGTATTCATGTTAAACTGCGGCATGGTAACTCAGCTCTGGGCCAGCTCTATAAAATCGGCATCAGTCCGGGCTAGCACAAGCACACACACACACACACACACACACACACACACACACACGTGCATGCACGTCGCTTTATAAGTACAATAACCCTGGACGCGACGTTAAACCCCATACTGCCTTCGTAATCATTATTTGTAGCAAAATGGTAAAAAGTACGAATGTGAAAAAGACTCGAGTGAGTGTATTGTTACGCCACTTTTATCATATTACAGCATATCACGAAAGGGGATTGAAGAATGGACGAGAGAGCCAATATTAGGAATAGAACTCGGGACTTCCGCGTGGCGAGCGAACGCTTTAACCGGCCCAAAATACACTTGGTGTAACGTGGAAACAGGGATGAAGGGTCTAATAATGTCGAAACAATAGACCACGTGATGGATTTTCCAAAGTACATACCGCCTGTTTAGCTACATTTTATTGAAATCAAACAAAAGTGTAAATTATATTTAAAGATTGAAGATTGCAGATTTCCGTTTGCTAATTGCCATTTTTGTCATTGCACAGGGAAATGTTTATTATATGTTTTTTTATGTGGAGTATTAGAAAACAATTGATGGTAAATTCCGTTAGTCTCGCTTCACCATAACACTTCCCTGAGGCTGTTCAAATCTGAATGATATAGTGACAATAGCAAGTGTCAAATATCAAATGTCTTATTGATTAACCGTTTAGCACATACAATTGGAGTTATCTCCCCTTGGGTGTCCATTTCATCGTAGATGTTTAGGCCACCCGAGGGGTAGATCAATATGCTAGATAAACGTGCATTTGTATAATTCACACTCGGTATCCTTCTCCGATCGTGTTTGAAATCAGATAAGTTAATAACAGTAGATATGACACTAATTACAGCGTCATAAAACTGACATTTTGTAGAGAGAAAATTGTGACATTTCAAAAAATAGCTCAAACGTTAGGTTCATCGATTCATTCACGAGTAAGAACAAATAGGATATATGATAAGGGATTCTTCCTAGAATCGGTGACATGTAAATTTCATTCATCACTGTGTCAGTTCCTTCCTGGTTTAACTGCTGCAGGCGACCTAAGAGGACGTAGAAAATGTGTCACCGCGTTTCTCTCGGAGAACGACGAGTCTCGCTTACTATGACAATGTGCGCGATGACTAAATAACAGTTTATCACTAACGGTTACATAATACCGAAGTATCCATTTGTGTAACAATTACACATTGCATGCAAAAGTGGGGCAAGAAATAAATTAGCTTCTTCTTCTATATGAAGTCCACTATATACAACTACTACATGGTTGATATGACCAACGGGGTAGTGGGGTAGCCTAGAGGTTAAAGCGTTCGCTCATCACTCCGAAGACCCGGGTTTGATTCCCTCATGTGTACAATGTGTGAAGTCTATTTCTGATGTCCTCCGTTGTCATATTACTGAAAAATTGTTCAACGCGATTAAAACTATACTCACATATATGATCAACTGACATTTATCATTTAGTGCTAACGGTGTCCTTTTTTGTTTGTTGTTTAATCGAGTCTGGATCAGACAATCCGGTGACTGACATCATGAACATCAATCTACGCAATTCGAATACGATGACCTGCATCAACCAAGTCAGTGAGTCTGACCACCCGATCCCGTTAGTCGCCTTTTACGGCAAGCATGGGTTGCTGAAGACCCATTCTTACCTTGATCTTCACGGCTTGTCGTTTTTTAAGCTGCTTTGAAATAAAAACGTCATCTTCATCCTGTGATAATTGTGAACAAAACCTGCTAATAGCTGTTAAATTGACGTGTTAAGCCAGAAATGTTTCTTTCCTGGCGTGACGTCTACATGTTTATGAAGGGCATTGCTCAAAACTAACAATTCGTCAATCAGGACATATTCACACCGTCTGGATGAACGAGTTTTTTATTGTAATCTGTAAGTTCCTTTGCTTCGCGCCAACTGTCCGATCCTTTTTTAACAGGAGGACAATACGAAGTCAAACATAATCTTTTGCACTAATGATCCCAATAGTGCTCTTCGCTCATTCAGTTTCGGTATCGGCTTACCGATCGCGATGGGCGTCAACCGCCCAACAACCTTGCTACCAGATTAATTCGCCTAATTACAAACGCTAGGTATAAGTATCTCTTAATTAGCGTAACAGTTGTGTTGCCTCAAGGTCTGATATTAAGACAATCTATTGTCTATCGTGTCATTTGATGCATGGTGAACTATCGATACAGCATGTGTTGTTTTGCATTGAGCGAGTCCTTCGAAACGTGATTACACCCCAATGCCGTCGTTAGAGGGCTATTGTGCTGTAGGTTGAAATACTTGCAAAACAGGTTGTTTTTATACATATCAATTGCATCTTAGTGAAATAGGCTTACAGTTTGCTTGTTATTGAGACGGCGTTGTCAAAATACTGAATGGGGTGATTGCATGTTCTTGTACCAAAAAGAGCATTCATTGACGGTATTATTTGTTCATTTTGAATGACCATGTGACGAGGTACCATTGTTATAATTCACTAAAGGTGTCTTGCCCTTCCTGGTACGAGTAACACATGTAGTGTATATTCTATACCTGTCGAAATTAAAAGAATCTCCGTTTGCTGTTAACTAAATGTATACTTCTCTAATCACAATTTCATGAACTCATACGCCCGGAGCTGAACTTCTGTAGGCAAATTATGAGGTCGGGCGTTTATCCTCGAATGTCAACTGTCCGGTTTAACAAGGTTTTAAGAATTCAATCACAACAATCAATTTCAAGTTGGCATATTAATTATACCTTGAAGGACCCGACCCATAATTATCACATGCTTGCTGTATTTTCCCCATGTCGATCGAACAAAGGTACATTTTAATAGCTAACATCCTGTACATTTTGTTCCTTATTGTTTTAGTAGGGACCTAACTGTCGAAATTAAAAGCATCTCCGTTTGCTGTTAAGTTGCTTATCGGGAAATGTATGTGTTTGGTTTAATCAGTTTCCTGGCAACGTAATTCTCAGCATGTCTAGATGATGTCCGTTTTGTGACATCCGTATTCAATTTCTATTGAGATGACTATATATGGTGCTTGACTGAGATTGTACCATGAACTCAATGAACTGACAATTAGAAGGTATCATACCCCGCCGATAAGCGTTATTGGGCTTATTATTTAACTTCATGTATTTCAATAGGTGTATATAGTTTACCTTGTTTCTAAACACAATCTCTTCGTTCGCAACATAATCAATCACCTTTTGTTATCAACCCTTACCCTACTCGTGCATCACATGTTTTTCCTGAGAAAGTAGACCAAATATCTTTACTGCCATCAGAAAGTAAATCATGTCTTATTTCTGATCCAAGAAAGTTACAATATGTTGTGTATGCTCTAAGAAAAAAGACAGCGTTTCGTGCAGGCTCTCAGAGAGTAAACAATGCGTCGTCTACGCTCAAAACGTAGACACTGTGTTTTGCATCCTCCCAGAAAGTAAACACTGTGTTACCTATGCTTCCAGAAAGTTAACAATGTGTCGCCTAGGCTCCCAGTAAGTACACAATGTGTCGCCTACGCTCAAAACGTAGACACTGTGTTTTGCATCCTCCCAGAAAGTAAACACTGTGTTACCTATGCTTCCAGAAAGTTAACAATGTGTCGCCTAGGCTCAAAACGTAGACACTGTGTTTTGCATCCTCCCAGAAAGTAAACAATGTGTCGTCTATGCTCCCAGTAAGTACACAATGTGTCGTCTACGCTCTAAACGTAGACACTTTGTTTTGCATCCTCCCAGAAAGTAAACAATGTGTTACCTATGCTTCCAGAAAGTACACAATGTGTCGCCTATGCTTCCAGTAAGTACACAATGTGTCACCTATGCTTCCAGTAAGTACACAATGTGTTGCCTATGCTTCCAGTAAGTACACAATGTGTCACTTATGCTTCAAGAAAGTAAACAATGTGTCACCTATGCTTCAAGAAAGTAAACAATGTGTCACCTATGCTTCCAGAAAGTACACAATGTGTCACCTATGCTTCCAGAAAGTAAACGATGTTTCACCTATGCTTCCAGAAAGTACACAATGCGTCGCCTATGCTTCCAGAAAGCAAACAATGTGTCACCTATGCTCCCAGAAAGTAAACAATGTGTCGCCTATGCCCCCAGAAAGTAAACAATGTATCGCCTATGCTTCCAGAAAGTAAACAATGTGTCGCCTATGCTCTATGTATGCGCTCAGAAAGTAACAATGTGATATGAATGCTGAGCATCCAAGTGTTACTGTCATAAACAATACCCCAGGACTAAAATATAGTCACACATGATTTAATATGCGGTATAGAGCTGGCGATACATGCTTTTCTGTCATGTGGTTTTGCTTTTTCTGTGGGGTAACGCACATGCCAGACACCACCCGACACGCCACTACATGGAATGATAAACGTTCTGCTGCCTATATAGCGTATTGGCCATTTTGGGACAATCAGTGCAAGGCTTGACATTGAGACGTGGAATGTGTGCAATTAAGGTTATCATCACTGCTTGATTAATAACGTGAGTTAGCAGGCAAAGTGGTTTTTCAGTGAATTGATTCGAATGTGCTTGTTCCTCTTTAGTTTAGTTTTGTTTGTTTGCTGCTTAACGCCGCACTCGGCAATAATCAGTAATCAATAATCAATAATTCGACGGCGGTCTGTAAATAATCGAGTCTGGACCGGACAATCCAGTGACTGGTATCATGAGCATCGATCCACGCAATTGGGATCGATGACATGCATCAAGCCTGACCACCCGATCCCGTTATTCGCCTTGTTCCTCTTTAGGGTTGTATGGATGGCGACTATCCTAATTACGAAGTGCGCCATTTTCTAATAGGGTAACCAAGCCAATTCACCACTGTTACTCAGATCCACATCACTGTCATCAGAACATTTCGCAAACGTAAATGAACACATAAAATCAGCTTCTTTTCAAAATTTTATTTGAAACTATCGATACTAAGTAGCACAGACAGAAATTATTCAGGTCCACAATGAACACATATCAATCCTTCATTTATATATGGGATTGCTGGTGGTGGAATCGAAAGATGCGTGTAAGCATTGTTCATTGTAATAACAGTTCAATTTGTCGTCACAGTCAATCAGTGTGCCTCCAACGTTGAAAAATGTGGCACTTCCATATTAGGAGTTCCCGTTACAAAGGAAATACTTGGTTAAAGCCCGCTAATACGACGAGGAAGTCTTTTCCCGCCGCCCCCAGTCGGGCTTTACGAGCAGACGATACATGCATAGCGTCACGTGACTTGTCTGGGGCAGCTGCACGAGGCTGTGACCTTTCACCTGGTTCTGGTCACCCACGGATTGTGTGGTCGCCCACGGCGAGGTGGCAGTGTACACGTATTACCTGGAAAAGCGAAGAAAAGGTTATAGAAAATACCAAATGACATGGCATATGACAAGGCAGACGTTAGTCACAAGTTTCATATTGTAGCATTTTAGAACATTACCGAGTGAAGCACGTTGACATCAGGTGCAAAATCAAAGAACGAACACGATGCCAATATTTTATTATGCATTCACCGAGTGTAGCTTCATTATTTAAATTGGAAGGAAAAATAGCCTTTAATACAATATCAGTCATTAACTGGAGGTAGCTTCGTGATTTATTGAAGATGATTCTAATTACCTGGTCAATCTTTGAAGTGACATCTTGGTTGGGTGATCGATGACCCTCACTTGGCCAGGCCGTGCTCCTGGTCAGTCATCCGTCAGTCCTTCAGGCAGTTTAACAGAAAGCTCCTAACAAGCAGGTGATTCATGTGTAGGTGTTGCCTTTGGCTGTCCACCTTCTTGGTTGACCCCATCAGCATCTTGACCGGGCTCGTTGTCCACCTGGCAGCAGATGGTCATAACTTCTTGTTGACCCCTGGGCAGGTTTTGCTGACCCCCGGTCATTACAGTGGATGATTCAATATGGTCTTTGGCGATCTCAAGTCATGGGTCCCCCTTCCACCTCTCACCCAATCTGGCTGCCCTTTTTCGGTACTTTGCAAGTTGAGGTACCCGCAAAGGTTGAAGTTCTCTATCCCTCTTGAAGATGTAGAGAATAGGCATTCTGGCAGTTTAGAACTCGGTGCAGTGCTGCACAGAGTATGGAGTTCATTCTGGAAGTCGGATCACAGGTCTAGGATAAACGTCACTAAACGTCACGTGATCAATGTATTGGGACACCCGTTCCATCTCAGGGCTAAGATCTCCAGATGGAAACTGCAAAAAAAAAAGGAATAAAAATTTAAATTTCAAGTAAAGTGCACAAATAAAACATATTGTTAACCCTCGAATAATTCATAGTGACAAAAAATTCACAAAGAATCTAGTTCGGTAATCATCACATTGAAGAATGCTTACCTGAATAAGAGCGCACGAGACAGGTCCGCAAACCGCATCATTTGTAGATTTGACTTTCAGAAGGACAGCTAATTTGTCAACACTGTCAACCTGAAATACAACATAAACATATTTACTTCATTGGTTAACCGCAACGGCCTTGACATTGTTATCTATGAACATCCGGGTTGCGTAAACAGTCCTGTTTCATTGACTAACAGGACATGGCTAAGGGATACCTCCCTTCCAAGAATTGTTTATGATCGGATAAGTAACACATCTACGTGACCTAGTAAACGTTTACGAAAAGATTTATACTTCACGACCAGGTCTCACATACTCAACAGGTCATGGATGTAATAATTTGTCTAGAATATTTAATATTATTAGTAATTAATAAAATTATTAATTATAAACTATGATTACATACCTTAATCATTTGAATGTCGTTTTCCCAGCAGAAGGCTTGTATCAGTGTGTGTTGAATGTGCACTGTGACATCACAGTGGTCACTTGCATCTGGTAAGATGCACAGCATCACATTGTCTGGGTTGGTGGTCAGCAGGTCAGCACACTGGAACACCCCGTGGGTAGCTTGACCAGTTCTCACGGCCTCGCGAACTATATTGGCCAGGTCAAAGCCGATTCCTCTTACTGGGGTCCTGGAAAACAATACTCATAAATTAATACACAATCAAATTTTCAAAATTTAAAATTAAATTGTCTTAAAAATCAGAAATACTAAGAATGTCACATAATATGATCATGATCTGTGTAATCAGCATAACTTGATAATTAGATAATCTGCTTATATAACATTTTTTTTTTCTTTAGTGTTTTTATCATAGGAGTTGGCAAATTTAAACTATTTCTAGTACACTTCAATTCAATTGAGACACCAGCATCTCTTATCGGGATAAAAGGGAGTGTCTAGACGATGGAATTTGGGGCATTGCAAATATTTGCCTGTGGAAATTGCACTAAGAAAACTTAGGGGGAATTCCTCCCAGCCGCGCCTGTCTATGTCCTGACTCAGACTGCGAACGGCCCACTGATTGTATTGATCGCTCAAGGAATTCCCCCTCAATAAACAACTAGCGGCTTGATCTTGGTTGCAAGATTCCGTAAACATGTTGACAAGCACATGGTATGTGGTTCACAATGACCACTGATTTATGTGGCCTAAATCACAAGTTAGGACCCATGATTTGAAAGTTAGCTTGGTAGCGCATGACATATCATGAGACACCACAAGTCGGTCACACGATGAGCTCGCGTCAGTCGGTACCGCCCGCGTGTCAGCTGGTTCTCGGTAACATCTGCGTTTGCTGATAACGCACCATCAGCGAGAAAATTACTTACAAAACTACATTACAACGCATCAGTTAGAAATCTACATGTTTAAAGTCGACTTATAACATTACGAAATAAAAACGTCGGACTTAATTCCAAATTTGATGCACAAATGTAGTTAAAGGGCGATACAAATATTGACATAGTTTGTAACCCGCATGTGCAAAATGAGCAATATTGCCGAATTAAGTTAACATCACGATCTAGACTTTGTCAGGGCGGAAAACATATATAAATAGCTGCGGTGATTAATCAGTGACTAAGACCAGCTGAACGTGCAAACAAGTCCCCATACCTGTTCACATTGCATTAACATGAATACAAAGTAAAAGAAAAAGATGATACTTACTTTTCACACTTGTCTGTGTCTTTAGAGAGTGAAGTGGGCTTTCTAAGTTCCAGTTCACTTCTATACAAGTCAATACTCTCCGGAGCACAAGGTAAATCCTCAGAAATCAGTGGAGCCATTGTAACACGGACCTCTCTCAACGACAGCTAGCGCTAAACTGAACAGAGAGCGTGTCGAGCCCACACATGTACTAACAAAGAGGGGCTTTCCAGGAAGGCCGACGCTGATTGGTCAATCGCCGCACTCAGTTCCGTCTCATGTGAGGTCGCACAACTGGGTTCAAGTTCGCTACAGACAAAGTAAGGTTACATCTTACAGCCTCGGTGCGAGATCCCGAGTACGGGATGGTTTTTCTCGTTGACTAAAACCTGTTCAACAAAGGCAGTCGAAAGTACTCAGATGACTGACTGTTCGGGTGGTTGTAGTGAAGGAAATTAGGACTGAAGCGAACGCACCAAGTGGTGTGGGTGTACGCGATCACGAGTGCTGTAAACTCGCGATGGATGAATATATGTGATGGGCGTGTTGTTTTTGCATTAGACAAGGAAGCTCGTAGACATCATGTAATACATAGGTCGGATTACAATGTAGTTTTAACCATAATCCTACCTCGCTCTAAAAAAGCAAACGTTGAATTTACATGAAAACATCGCTGAGTGTTTGTATTTGAACAGATTCATCAGATCGACCTGTGCCATTGTAGTCATTTATATCAGACAGTGCATTTCATTGGCATCTCAAACGCTTAGTTCTAGGGTACAGTACATGTTTTGGTACGTGTTTATACTGTACGCGATTGTTTTCGAAGAAAAAATAACAGACGGTTAAGTACACCAATACCGATAAGGTATACAAGGCTTCACTCAAACCTATCTTACTTGGGCACCAGCAAATGAAAGTTGTATCTGTGTATCTGTGTAAATGATCTTTGTATGAAATACTAGCTGGTTACAAATTCATTGTTCCATCGATCTAAATAACGAGATATCAGCTGTCTTAAATTAAATGCACATATATATGACTATGTTAATATCAAAAACGCCCCCTCTTCCTCGGATAAACTGTAGAAACTTTTCAGAGAAACATACTACTCAATTGTGTGTGTACACTCACCGTTAGGGTACAACAATTTGTGAAGTGCTTAAGCCTTTAAATCTACAAATCCCAATCCATTAGATTTAGTATGCGTAGGCGTTTGTAATAAAGAGGGACTGCGACTAGCTGACGGTTTGTGTCAATCAACCTGTGACCAGCGCCCCAAATAACAATGTATATATATAAGCTCACATATATATTTCCACACGATGTAGATAGTTGATTTTTATAAGGATGATATTGGCTATATGTATGATAATAAGCAATACTGTGTTAAGTGTAACATATAGATATATTGCCCGTATATGAAACAAATGCAGACAGGATCAGGACAATGTTGAAATACATATATCATATATATTTACACCCATGTGTCTGCATGCACTCGAATACCTATTAGCATTTGTTTCTACTGCAGTAATAATACATACACGTGTCCGGCATTGTTGTTTGTGTTCAACTGCGTGTATTTTCGACAAGGAAGAAACTTCATTACCGCGTTTTATTATATATTTCAGAAATGAAACATGTCACTTTCCTGCAGTTTCTTTTTTGTACTGTCTTAACCTATAAAATCAAGCAAGTTTAAATTCCTAGCTCACCGAAATTCACTCCAAATGTATTTTCCATCATATAGGACTGGAGAAAGGGTGCTGGTTAAACGTTAAAATGTTTCAAGGGCTTAATACAAAAAAAAATATGTCAAAGGTGTTAAACGGGTAAATTTAGAACCATGAAAACCCTAAAACAATGGAAAGGTTAAACCGTTAAGTTCATTGTCATTGCCAGCTTGGACCCATAAACCCATGCATATATGTTCGAAGTATGTGGGATCTTGTCTTTCAACACAATGCCTTTGTGAGATATTTTTGCCGAGTCACCAAGCTTCAGTTTCTGTGTACTTTGTTGCCGAAGGTTCAAGGTATGCCACTATTAGCGTGCAGATGTCGAAAAGGCATTGGACCTTGTTCACAGCCACAGCGATTATAATCCGGATCACAAACAAAGCTCGTCGGACAAAACCAAATAAGTGTGGGCTTTGAATATTTCGAGAGGCGTTGGGATTATGCTTGTGACTTCTTTTATTGATGTTTCACGATAAATGTGTGTAGGTTGTTAAAATGTAGGTTCATGGTGTTTTTTTCTATCAATGATCTCTCTTGAAAAGCACGTGTTACAAAAAAATATTACATAAACATTTTTCGTCTTTATTTTCCAGATGTGTCCCGTGAAGTAAGTAAGTATATATATATATCCACAATTGTTTATGAAATGTTGTATATAACGATAATTCGTCAAAGGGGTCCAAGAAGGAGCCTTAGGTCAACAGACTGACCTACATATGGCATACAAATGTTAAACACCACTCCTTTTTTCATATCATCCTATTGACTTCTGTATTTCAATATCAATGTGTCACCGTGTAAACGAAAGCATGTGTTCTGCCAGAAAATAAGTACAGTATAAGTAAAACTATGCTGTTTGATAGGGAAATATATAGTTATTGGTGCTCAGTTATTATAAGTATCACGGCCCATCTTGTCATCTTTCATATTTTAAATTGAAAACTGTATATACACGAGTATTTCTCCTCATCGCCTCTGTATACCTGCAACCAAGTAAGTATATAGATGAATTAACTACGTATTGTGCTTATTGTCATAGCCTTTACATGGGCGGATACAGCTTTTTTGAAAAGGGGGGGTGCACAATTAAGATCTATTTATTGTCTTTGGTGGTAATTTATACAGAAATAAAGATGTTTTTCGAAATAAAAGGGGGGGGGGTGGGTGGTTGCGCACCCCCGCACCCCCACCCCCACCCCCACCCCCCACCCCCAACCCCCTACCCCATCTGTATCCGCCCATGCTTTACTTGTTTCGCAACTTCAAAACTACTAAAACATAACTTAGATTCTGAAGCTGATTTACTGACAACACAGTTAAACTGAATAACAGCAGTCATACTGCGCATTTTTATATTCATTGATAGCAGCTTTGACATTTGATGTTCACAATGTTAACCACAAAACACGATTTTAACTCCCCGTCTTCATCGGTAGTTTAATAACACTGATGTGATTCACGGCGATCGACGACATTTTGCTGCACAGCAAGCAATGTGACCTTTGACCTTTCAAGCCTCGCATTACGCAACACAATACTCCAGCCGTCACATCAACGAGAATCACGCTCGGCAGTGGAACATTTCTCCGCCCGCGGCCTGCTTCCATCGTGTGAATCGTGATTAAATAATGGTTATACCTTGATATATGTTTCCTTCATATATATATATTGATAAATATATTGATTATCTGAGCTTCTAATAAGGAAACACAAGTCACGTTTCAAACATATTTTCACTGTTTGTTTTAGATATAAACACAAAAACCCATGCAATAACATGTGACGTTTGCTGAAATTACCGTTATTGGCGGGCTCTTTGTCAGCTTTGTCTGATATAACATGTCTATGTTTGTCTTCACCTGAGTATTTATATTTTTTAAATATATATTCATTTGCTTAGTAATCGCGGATTTATAATTCATATATTACAATTTCATCTCAGAAGAAAATCTTATGAAACAACTTTCATATTCTATGAATGCTGCCCTATGGATATACTTGGAATATCTACCTATCCATTTCAAACAACAAAAAGTTACGTTTGAAAAATGTTCACACCTAACAACAACGTTTGTTTTCAGATCCACTCAAATACAACTTATACAAATATATTTTAATGGTCTCTCCCACGTCTTGTTTATTTCATCAGCAGGTGGAACTGATAATAACAGCTGGCCAGATGCTTGACTGTCCTTTTGAGTCATTTCGTTGTCGTTCCAGTTTACAGGTATACTTGACAACAAACGACATCTCGAACATATTTGTAATTTTCTTACACGTATGAAAAAGAACTTGTGCCCGTATGAAACTGTCAATATTTTCTACAATTTTTTTTTTTAAAATAGAATTTTAAGGCCCTGAATGAATACCTTTTTTAAAAACAATAATTACTTAAATCAACAGAAGGCCAATACACCATAGTCATAATTCACAACACAGAGCGTTAGGATATATGTATGAAATACTGCCACGTAGTCCCTGATATTGTTTTCACGCCCATATACCAACAACCAAATGTCCTTATAATGCCAAGTACGACACGGAGTTATCATCAATTATCCGCTCATCAACTCTGGATAACATAAACGGCCATTTGCTCAAAGCAACCGGCCTTTAGGAACCAGCAGGGGTGACCGTGGGTTGAAATCAGCCCACAAAAGGTTACGAAACAGTTTCAATACAACCGATAATTACAGTTCGACCGTTTGAGGGGGGCGAGGCATGCGACCCTAAAGTCAGTCCTGGTTGTATTTTCATAGCGGGTGGGCGAACGTGGTATGATGCCTATATATCACTAATGGAGACCCACCGTGCGTTATTTACATAATATTGAGAAGATGGGGGTCTAAGAACCCCTGTGGTTTATATCCGTTCATATCAAAGGCCTATATCTTCTCCCGCTAGCGCTTCTACGTGGGGGGAACCAGTTATGCGGCAGGTGAAACCATCCCGGAACATGTAATAAAAGAAAACTATGTTTCTTACACCCCCCGACCTCTCCCAGAGAAATCAGCGGGTGGTACACTATGAGAGGGGTCATGGGGAATGCACCTGGACGACGTCCGGTGATTTGGTTGGTTTGTTGTTGAACGCCGCACTCAGCAATATTCCAGCTATATGACGGCGGTCTGTAAATAATCGAGTCTGGACCAGACAATCCAGTGAATGATATCATGAGCATCAATCCACGCATTTGGGATCGATGACATGCATCAACCAAGTCAGCGAGCCTGACCACCCGATCCCGTTAGTCGCCTTTTACGACAAGCATAGTCACCTTTTACGGCAAGCATGGATTGCTGAAGACCTATTCTACCCCTGAATCTTCACGGGTCCGACGTCCGGTGAGTCAGAAACAGAAACATTGCCTGTCATCAGTGTTCTGTAGCAGTGGGATTTGTTTTGAGTTTCAGACTAATCGATATATTTTGGATATTTATAACTTTTTAAATCATCAATGTAAA